CACCATCGGCTGTAGCTGTAGACATGTACGGCCCCTGTATTCCACTCTAGCGCTGGTGGTACAATTAAGGCGGAACGAAAGTTAGAACGGTCGTTTCCGCTCGAATCGAATCATCACGCCGGGGAATCGGCTGAGGAGCCGGCCGGTTGAGGAGCCGGCCGAAGAAGGACATAGACATCGACGGGCACAATTAATCATTTCAGCAGAGAGGGAATTCCACTGTCCACAAAAGTTACGGGAGGGCTATTCTGTGGTATGTTGGCACTTGATATTGTTACGTATAACTTGATGAGCTGCTCGGGGCCCTCCCTCGACTTGGTTTCCGAACAACCTGGAGCCTCCTGACGGGGCGAGGACCCATGAGACGAAACACTCTCAAATCAGGGCTCACGGAGACGAATTCCTCGTCATACACCGGCTACACTAGAAGCGGAGGAACCTTCACCCGCGAGGCTCCAAAACTTTTAGAATCGATTCGGATTTGTTCCGCGTTGTTTTTGAGCCGATTTTAGCGTAGAACTACGCTATAGCCCCGGGTACGGGAACCAACTTCAATGGGGACTATTGGGGGGGCGAAGCTCGGAAAAAATCAAATCTCGGAGATCACATGCGTATGTGCTAGGGTCGTCTGCCAGGAGCTCACGCACTTTATCTATGCGATTCACCTATGTAACAAACTTTTCGAGCTGATTTCTCAGAAACAGAGCGTTTGACAATGAAAATTATCATGGCTGAAGATGTTCAGCTGAGAATGAGGCACCGGGCACGCTGCTCGAATGCCTCTAGTCTTGATTGTTTCAGGAGATACCGCCCAAAAAGTAGGCTCCTTCTCGCAGAACGTGTGAACGAAGACTCGGATCCAGAAAAAACTGAAGGCAAGAAACCCTCAGCAGACCTCGATTACCCCTAACCAAGTGTTCTGGAAACGCTATGTCGAATCATCGTCACAGAAATCACTTTTTCTGATTTCAAACATGTATATTCGGCGGAGAATTCCTCCGCCGTTAAGGATGGGTCTATACCCTCAAGATAGAGTCAGTCTCTGCGAAACCAATCGTTTAAACTGTCCTCAAGTCTTCTTCGACCATGCGTCGATCTTGAAGACTTGCTCAAGTGCCTCATTAGGTATTTCCCTCCCATCTCGGCTCTTCACCCGGATTGGTTCATCGTTCCGTTTATTATGTCGTGAGACATATCTCCATAATCTCTTCGCCCTCTCACGCCGGGGTTCATTCAGAATCTGTCTGCTCAGACTCCCGTAACGTGTCTTTTCTTCCTCACTGACGGCTGCCTTCAGTTTGTTTTGCGTAGTTCGGAGCTCTATCTCAGTCCGATCTATTTCATATTGGTCCCCATATTTTCTGGCTTTTCTCCACTTTCGATTCGCCTCTTTTTTCTGCTTGGTTATGTCTCGTATGGCCCTCGAGAAGTACATGTTCTCCATTTTGGGTTTGATATCTCTGGAGCTTTTGCTAATACCTACTCTATTGTACAGGGCACACGCTAAGCATCGTCGTGGGAATCCTTGCGATCTATGTTTTCGGTAAAAAGGATTGGCTCAGAGCGACCCCTCTGGCCTTCGTGTGCTTTCTACCTACGCTTGCCACAGTTCTTACTTCTTACAATGAGTTTCATTCCGGAGTCTCCGGCTTTGCTCATGAAACAGGATAGCCCGAAATCGATGGTGAGCGAGGCTCTGTGCTTCTTCTTCAATCGTACAGCCTCTGCCGAGAGTCAACGAGAACTCCTGATGGAGAGGGAGGACAACGACGGCAGCCGTTTCTCCGTGGCCTATCCGAAGGACCCTGCCGTGCTTCGACCGCTCCTGATCGCCCTAATCCTGGCAGGCACGCAGCAGGCTCGTGGAACAAACGTGATACTCTTCTACATGAACGAAATATTTTATTCAGCGTCTCAGAGCATCGAACCCTCGATTCAAGTCATCATCGTGGTTGCGGTTCAAGTCGTCTTCACGTTCGTAACGGCTCTGCTCATCGATCTCGGCCGTCGAGTGCTGCTGCTGGTCTCGAGTACAATATCCCTCATTGGGATGCTTCTTCTGATCGCTTCCTACGTCCTGCAAGGACAGAAAAGTCCAGCGTTGGATCACCTGAGTTGGCTCCCGGCGATATCTCTATCAATTTTCGTCGCGGGCTTCTCCTTCGGACTCGGACCAGTGCCTTAGCTCCTCATGGTTGAATTGCTCCCAGCTCGCGCGGGGGTCGGAGTAGGACTGACCGTGGGGTTCAACTCGCTATGTGCGTTCCTGGTGACAAAATTCTTCGCTAATCTCACGGTCAAGTGGGGCTCCTCACGAGCATTCTCCATCCTCGCTGGAGTCATTGCCTTCAGCTTTGAGTTTGTTCACTTCTTCGTATCAGAAACCAAGAACAAGACTCTCTGAGAGATCGGAGCACTGTTCGAAAGTCTCTCGAGGAACGGATCTCGAGGGAACAACGACCAGAGCCCGAGCCACGCATCGAGTGCGACGGACTTCCCCGCGCGACCTGACGGTCACTCGACCCGAAAAGGAAGGCACGAAGGAAGAAACGAGCGCACGGCGTTGTATTAGAAAGATCACAATTTATTCTTTCGGCGATGGGAGAGAGAGGATCTTCAGCCTCGGGGTCCGGAATTCGTATGCGTCCCTGCATCCCCGTTTGAGGAAGAGGCTGAGCGCCATAGTCGCGACGGGATGCCAGCTCGAGGGACTCCAGGGTCCGGAGCCGAATTCGATCAGAGGCATCACATCTTCGTGTGGGGAGTATCCTGACGAATGCTGATCACGTGCCGTTTATCATCTGATCCTTTCAGAGCCGGCGGCTGCTTACGCGATGTAGCTGTCCGACGCTCACCGAAAATCATATCGTCCATTGCGGCGAAGGGTGCCTCGATGGAAATATTCAGATAGTAGGCCAGGAAGATAGACATTACGAATATTCCCAGCGCGTCCTTTAACTGAAAAATAAATTCTCCAATCGTGTTCCCGTTCCAGGATGCAATGTTAGAGGGTTGTAGATGTCATCGCTTTCGGAGCACTCATAATGGCCGTCATACTCCTTCCATCATAGGGCTCTGAATTCGATGAGGCATTGTGGAGCCAAGACCTAAAAGTCGTTGACCTCCTAACTAGTCCTCGACTCACCACTAGAAACTGATTGGTGTACAATACGGAACCCTTGAGATATCCGTTCTTGACAGATATCACTATCATGTGCATGAGGTAAATGCCATAGGTCAGACGACCGCAAATCGTGAAGATCCGGTGCGAGAGCATCTCGTTGACGATGCCTGAATCCACGAAGAGTCAGTATCTCTTTGTATCAATCGAGAGATTCATGGCGGACAGTGCGAATTGGTTTCGGAGAAAAAAAGTGATGTCGTCGTACCGCCTCTGCCTGTCGTGTTCGCATAGGTCAGCCACATCATGGCCAGACCCCACAGTGGCCTGTGGAAACCTGCGTAGATTGATCCCGGTAGATGCTCTGGGAACCCGTATTTGAACCAGATCGCCGTACCGAAAACGACATACGAAGCTATGAGCGTGGAGATCAGCCACATGACAATCCGAATTCGCTGAAAAAAAACAGAGGCCGAGTGAGCCGTTTGCCAGCTTGGGGATCTCATCCCCGATCGCAGGAGCTCGAGAAGCACATTTCGAATCCGTACGGTATTTCTCGACCGCTGCACTGAAATCGAACGTTAGGGAGATAATCTTCCGAGACGTGGAATATCCGAGTCATTACCAAGGACAGGAATGTTCTGGGATTGCGCGCACTGAAGTATCCGCAGATGAGACCGAGGAAATAGTTCGGAAGATGAGGGTAGGCCTGTATGTAGACGTAATCGAGGGTCCGAAAGACTCGCCTGTGTGACCGGAACACAATGAGAATTCTTCCGCAGGAATCTTCCTTCTCTCGGCATATCTCGAGACATAGAATGAGGCCATTTTGCGCGCTCATGTACATACATGACCCCACAGTTTCTCGCCTCAAGGAAATTTCCGGAAAGGATGACTCACTCGAAATCGAAGTCTTGGAACATTATGATGTAGGCGAAATTCATAATGTATGTGATGTAGGCTGTGGACATCGCGGCCACCACGCAGAGTATTCCACTGAGACCTAAAGCGATCTTAGGTCTGAACACCAGAAGTAGAGCGAAAGCCGATCCGAGAGCGAAAATTTGCATGTCGACGGCCAAATACCATGTGTGGATAGCGCACTTGGGAGAATCAGAGAACGTTCATGTCAAAGGCCGGTACCGGTAGAGAGAGCGAGCATCGACACCGAAGGGAACACCCGAGAATCGTATACCGTCGACGGCACCGGCATAGAGACCCTAGTAGCGCCGTATTCCTACCAGTTCTGATACAGAGTCGGTGTTTCCTAGGAGGAGAGGCAACTTCCACCAATTGTTGGGACAGTTGCCGACATAAGCAGCGAGCATGCTATCGATCGCGATCGGCGAGTCATATAAAAGGGGGATCAGGAAACTGTAGGCCAACATCGCAAGAGCTGGAAGCATAGTCCTGACGTATCGCCTGCAGCAGAGGTTAGTGGCACTAGATCAGATAATGTACGGGAGCCGGTGATCAGGGTTCGATTCTGTTGTCTTCCTTATATCGCATCTCGGAACACTCACCGCAGAAAGACGGTGGAATAAATCACTGAGATATGACGACCCCGGCAGGCATTGCGGATCTTCTCCTGGTTTACGATGGTGAGATATCCCAGGAGGAAGCCACTGCGTAAGCCGAAGTGAAGATGCTGAGCATCGAATGGGAAGATCCGAAGAGGCTCTTCCTTAGGAGTTTATGTCTCGATGTTCTACCTGATGAAGAAGGAGGCCTCGACCGCCATGAAAGCGTTGAGAATGGGCTGGAAAATCCAGCTCTTGATTGCTTCGCTGCCATCGTGCAAGTTTTCTGCAAAGTTTATCATCAGTTTAAATTCTGATTCTCTTTCGGGACCCGAGATATGAATGAATGAAAATGATGACAAAATCCCTACCGAGCATATCTGGCTGAAGGAAACAGTGAGTATGCCCAACGACGGCCCAAAACGAGAGGAGGACTTTTAGCCCGCTCATGAATTGAAGTGACCCGTTCTCGTCTTTTGGATCTTTTAAAAGTCGCGCAGTGTTTCGTCGGATGGAGAAGAAGCTCAGAACTTCGATGACCGTTTTCGATTCCTTATCACCTCTCTCGATTTTCCAATCCAGGAAGGTCCCGACGATCAATAGAGCAGCTGTTATCAGCACGTATGTCCTGTCAGCATCGGGAAAAAGAGATCTGTTGAAAATCTGGAAAAATCCAACCGAGCGAGACATCGTCAAGTCCGACTCCAACTTACAGAGAAATCTTCTGTGCGGTACTCAATGCGATGGTTTCGTCGGTCTGACATCCCGATACAACGGCTGATATGTCATAAGCCATCAGCGCTGAGGAATTGTGTCGATTAGCGTTGCCGTGGCTCTCATAGCTGTCTCCAGGTGTGTCGGATTGAGACCGAAAACGGTTGTCAATCAACAACCAAAGGTCTCCTCCCACAGAAATCGATTCGCATCTTATATCGTCAAGCCATTCTTGCCTTTGTTGACAATGTAGTGGAGTTCATCTTGATTGCATGAGGAGGGGACGCACACGCCTATCTTTATTCCGATGTGCCACTCCCTCAAATTTTTCGGGATAATCCTATCTTGACCTGGAGCCCGTACCAAGAACTGAAAGAGTGATCGGGATCATTGTGGCTCCCGGGGATGGTTCGAGCTTGCACCAAATATGACGTGAAATGAATTATAATTGAGATGTGTGAATCCCGTATGAGTCAGCCGATCGGTTTCCAAGACTTCGGAACTTCTGAGTCTTCTCCCCATCGCGTGGTATGGAAGTCCTCGATCAAACCCGGCCAAGGCATAATCTCAATGCTATTCGCACCTCTTTAAAAGGCGAGAACAGCCTGATGTGCTCCACGATGTCGTCATCCGGTAAGATCGTGACTGCGCACCATTGACCTCTGAAGGCTAAATGACCCTCTGAGTTGTATCGTCTGGCGCGCCGGCATTGATCGAAACTACCGTAGGAGGCGAGTCCGCCGTCCAGTATGCTGGTCGGTAACGAGCCCGACGAGAGGAGTACTATGTCGAAAGTGTTGACATTAGCTTCAGTGTCACGGCTGTTGAGGGAGAATCTGCGCGAACATACAGACTCCAGAAGAATTCCAAAACAGAAAAAGGAAATCTCATACTTCGTAAAGCCCATTCCTCATTCTCGCGAGCAGCAGCCATGGTTCTGACGAGAGAACCGATGCAATTATTCGTCACGTTCGTATCCACCAGGAGCTCCTCGAAGATCGGTTGGAGTCTTGAGCCAATGTCTTGGCCGAGCTTCCTCATCACCTTTAGAACGGCTTGCTTCTTCGGCGGCAATCCTGGAACGACTGCGGCCAGTGTCGGAACCAACAGGGCCGTTCCGAAGACCAGGATGACATTGATCTTCATTTTCCGCGGGAAATCTGAAATTTTCTGTTTTTTTAGACTTCTCCGCTGTCGGATAATTATGCTGAAAACATATAGTATGCCTATTTTCATATGCCTGTGTTGCTCTCTGTATGTACTCGACAATGAGAAACGACGACTTGGAGCAAAATTCAACGAGCGTATGTCAGAGATTCAACGCGGCCTAGAAGCCGACAATCATTCCGACCTTATTCGGCCCCGGAGGGACACATTGTTCGGTCGAGGAAAAAACGTGTGCGCCGGCTCGCCGATTGAGACTCGAATCCTCAGAAAATGAATTCACGCTTGACTCCGACCACTATCTTTCTCCCGAGGAAGGCAAATGCTACATGTTGGACCTAATATTTCACATCGCTGAAGAGGCGAATGGCCGTTTCAGATACATCGCGAAACCCCGGAGTTCAGCGTGAGTGCAAGCTTGATGGGACTAGAGCCCGTGCCGGCCTCGATTGCGGACGTTTCCAGGCGTGCCATCGAAATAGATATGGCACGTCCTCCTCAAGCAAGAGTGCAGCGCACCGAAACGTTTGCCGAAGCAGAATTGAGCTCTCATAAGCATCGATGGACGAATCAATAAGTCCGGGGGAATCATGACATCGGAGCTTGCATCCTCGTGTCGCGGATTTTTCTCATAACTCACAGATAGAATTGGATTCTGATTGACTGAGTGAGACGAAAATGGCTAAGTCTCAGGAGCTCACCTCGCAGTCTCTATAGGTGGTTGCTTTCAGGCACTGAGAGGAGATCAGTGTTGAATCGCGGATCACTTAAAATTGTGGTCCTAAGCGATTAAGGTGCCTCGCCTGTTCATTGAAACGGAACCAGAATTTCTGCGCCATGCTCGAGAGCGTCGAAGTCGTCGATACGCGAGGGATGCCACAGCTTGAGGAGAGCGTACTGAAAAGGGAAGAGTTCCCCTCTGAAGCCGCCTCCATCGGTCGCAGCCGGAACTTGGGGCGGGACACAGAAAATCTGAGGGCCGCGCGTGAGGCTAGGAAGAACCGGAGACCGGTGACAGCCGCGAACTGAACAATGGACCGCGATCCGAATCTGCGGCGCAATATCTAGCCAGCTCGGTACATTCAGCCGACTCTGTTCATGTTGACATCACGGGACACCGACGAAGATAGAAATCTGATCCACCTACAGACTGAATCCACCTTGAGTGGTCGGTCCGTGTCAGCGGAGAGATTCCCCCCAATATCCCGCGAAGCTCGCGGAGGTGACGCAAGTTTCTTCACAGACCGGAAAATCGATAGAGACTTCGGAGATATGCTGATAGGTCGATTCGAATCGTGGTGATTGAGAATCAGATCGTACAATTCAATAACTGGCGACCAGGCTCCTTGATGAACCCGAAGTTAAACATTGTGCAAGCTGAACGACCTCCGACGCTCCAAAGATGTCGAGCTCATCTAATTCTACCATGCAGAGCGTCGCACCGCGCCCGGGAAAGCATTCTGCTTGGTCGTGCCGCCTAGAAAACTATCTCTGCAACGAGAAGAAGACTTCGCGATGCGCGATCCTTGCCTTCACCGGATCAAAAGCTTTCACCCGGCTCGTCGATGGAGTGCCTTCGGACAAGGACTTCGAGAGCCTCACGTTCTCAGAAATCACAGAAGTTCTGACGAAAATCTACGTGCCCGATGAGAACATTTGGACGTCACGGCTGTCGCTGCAGTTCGAGATACGAGACAGAATCCTGGCGAATCCTTCATGAAACTCGGCGGCGAACTTCGGGCCGAGGGTGCGAGTCGATCTGCGAAGAACCACAGATGAACCTCATCGAACAGTTCGTCGGCGGATCGGGCAATCAGAACATCGGATCAGCAATCCTCGCGGAATGCGCGGCTTAGAAGGATCTGGAAGAGGTATCCACTAAAACCGAGGAGCTTATCAACGCAAACATATCTGCGTCGACATCCCAAATCGCGCCGGCTCATGCATCGACCCCAAACGACGAGCTAAAACTTTCCGGAGGAAATCGGAAGAGAGAATTCGTGAGGAAAAAAGAAAACTCACCTCAATCACGGGATGGGATTCTCACAAAAAGGTGTTAACGTTGCGGCCACCGAGTCATCTTGCACCGGATTGCACATAAAAGAATTCGGAGTTTTATTCGCGTGAAGTCACGGGTCGTCTAGCCACGATGTGCTAGGAAAGGCGAATCCCGCATTCCCCGGTGAGTTTTTATTCCGTCGACGAGAACCAAAAAGCTCCGAGTGAGCTGAATCCATGATCATGGAGAGTCTAGGATCGTGCAACTTCGCCGGTGGGCTCGTCTGTTTCCACCAGGACTGCCGCTGCAGCTTAAGCGGCGCCCGGCGATTTGCTTGAATTCATTCGAGACATCGGTATATCCGAAACTTTCTCGCTCGGTGGCACGCTAATTCTGGGAGTATCGTTGATGGGATCACTCGATGGGACGTCGAGCATTGGAGAGCTGGTGGGAAGTGGAACGGGAGCATCTTCCGATTTGTCGCATCGGTCCATGCAGAGTTAAAATATATCCATATGTATGTAAATTATGTATAGAACAGCAGTCTTAACAGAATACAGCATAAACATTGATTGTCGAGGTACACAACTTCATGAGCCGCCTGAAATGTACACGGTGGCGGCGCCAGCCATTCCATTTTGAGCTTGTTATCGTGGATTCAGTTTTTTCCCCTTCAGTGTCTAAGGACCTGAATCCCCGTTTATTTTTCGCCCATGTCTGCCGCTCTTGTGTAGGAGCAATAGACTCGAAGAAAGCGGGAAAAGACGACAGACGCTTTCGCCGTTTTCATCCAAGGCCCAGCAAGCAACATCAATGTCGCAGGCATCGCTGCCCTTGTTGCTGTGGTCGGGGAGCGCTTCTTTTACATGAGTAGCCTTGCTCGCAGAAATTCCAGGAAACATTTTGAAGGTCTGATCGAATTTGTCCGAGGCCTCGCCGCGGAGAAGCTTGAACCTTCGGTGAGCAGGCGCGATTGGGTCACAGAATTGTTTGACGTCCCTCTCGCAAACACGGAACCGATAGGGAATCTCGGCGGGGGTTTGATGTCAGGGGACCGGATTGCTGTCGAGTCGACCTCTACTTTTGTATTCTATGGTCTAGTTTTTCTTGGGTGGGCCACCCCGCAAGACTTCGAGGACCTTAGCGGCATCAGCAAAGTTGTGCTCCCTCGAAGGGGCGATTGAAGACTTAGAAGCCTTGAAAGCACGGAGGGGACAGTTTCAGCAAAACCTTCCGTTGGTTCACTTCGAGCTGCCAAATTCCTCTCACCGTCAGATTCGTCTTATCCCTCGATCAGATTCGTCTTATCCCTCGATCAGATTCGTCTTATCCCTCGATCAGATTCCTACTGATGCCTCCCTCGCGTTTTTCTAGACGTGAGTGACCCGAATAAGCCCCAACGAACTTGGCGACAGAGTGAACAGCAAAGATCCGGATGATGACTTGATTATGTCGATGATTACTCGGGAGCTGTCTCTGTGAACGAATCGCTTTCCCGACGTCATCATTCAACACGAAAGTGATAACCGACTCATGAGCTCCGACCAGCGTCGTTGTCAGCAGCAGTGCGTATATGTTAGATTGAGGAGCGAAGAAGAGTTCGTCTGTCTGCGCAGTGGCGAAAAACGATCTGAATGCTTTATTCCGGAGCCGCCATCTTCTGACTTATAGAATAGGGAATGACGAGGTCCCTAACAGTTCCTAACAGTATACTCCGACGTCGACCGCTCTCATGACCTCCGAATTTCGGGAAGCTGAGCTTCCCAATCTTGAGAGAATAGGAAGCTAAAGCTGCCAAGGCTTCCCGCTAGCGCCGCCACTGACAAGGGAAGTACCCGACACGATGAGCGAGTTGGAAGCCGAAACTTGGCTGAAATCTTAGTCTATTCGAGACTTGAAAAATTCGTCAGTCTAGACGACTCACGAAGTGGGAAGACTTGACTGTAATTCGATGAGGACAGTGGAATCGTTCACCGAGGTCAAATAGCGATTGTGAATTGTGATCCGTAGGTCAACAAGGCGGTCTTTGAAGAAAACCAGTGAGAGATTGGACGTCCGTTATTGAAGCACTCTCACTAGCTGGTTGGAGCGAGGGCGAGTAGCCGTTGAATAGATCTATCTATTTTATAAGAAAAGGGAGGGAGTTGAAATGGGGGTGGGGAGGATGAAAATGCAGATGGGAAGTTCGTAAGATTGGGGTTAATTGCTCCTGCAATGTTAACGGGACGCAATCGTTTGGCTCCGTACCTGCGGAGGGCTATCGACGTTGATATACATTTCATATGAGATCATAGAACAGGTGCCGAGGTTTCGAGTCGATGTCTTCTGTCGATATCACAGCATTATGCCATTAAGCTCGGTAACATATTGCATCGTTTGGCTCATGTGGTATCACATTGTAAGTGAACGGCTCGGGAATGCAGGGCCGAGCGGAGGCCAGAGCCGTGCTGAACGGGAACTAGTTCCGTGCGTTACCTGCGAATACGTTCATCGAATCATAATGATCAGGGACTGGGTCAGGGTGGGAGCCCTCGGTGATATATACCACTCTCCTCATGGAATTACAGTAAAGTCTTCTCACTTCGTGAGTCGAATAGACTGACGGATTCCACTACGTCGAGTTCCATCGAGTTCACCAAGGACAAGGAGCGATTTTAACGTGGAGGATTGAGCAAGGCTGAGGGCACCGCTAATAGGGGTGGGGGTCGGAAAAAGTGATTGTGAAAAATGAGGCCCGTGACCATTGTGCGGTTTGGAGAACGTCGGAGAGTTGGGATCCACGCAGACGCGCTGCCGTGGTAGACGCAGAGCGCGTTGAACGGGCTGTGGAAGTCTTAACGGCCATGCCGGCATCCTGTAGAATTGATTTGACCCAGCGTGCCAGCGTGTCCTTGGAAGCTGGTCGTACCGGTTTCCGAGAGGTCAGGAAAAAAAGGCCGCGTTGTTGACGGAATGCTTCCCTGAGCTCGCTGTATCGACAGAAGGCGGCGATCGGGCATCGGAGTGAATTGGGGGGAAAACTTTTGACCGAGATTGAGGGTGAATGGTGGCCTGGTCGACTGGTCTTCGTGAGGCCAGTATATAGTCAGTTTTCCCGAACAGCTCATAGCCGAAATCCCCACGTTATTCGGCTGTACCTTTTCTTCCTTCGAATCACGTTGAAAACGTATCGGTTCGAAGCGCAATCCGACTTAACACCAGCTTGTGCGGACAATCATTGCAAGCGGAAACAACTCATCAAACTATTCGAGAAGAACTTCTTCGAGAAATCCGAAGAGTCGTATGTAGAGTATAGGATCGACTATCGTGTCCCTTGCGTTGGAACTTCTACAGCCGGAGCGGCCACGTGTCGTTGTATCCCGAAGGCAAAGACCCTCCGAAGTCTGATCGCTCCCATTGCATCAACCCGAAGGAACAAACCGAGCAACTGTCACAATTTATTCAAGGGAGGCCGACTGCGCATCTTCCACCGTTGTGTGCGGAAGGCGAAAGAATCGGGTTTACTCAGGCTAGATAAACTCACAAGCTGCCGTCCCGATGAATTCCGCAGAGCTCGATTCCGTCGGAGGTATTATACTAAGCAGCATGCTCGGGCAAGCAGCAACATGCCTCTTATCGATCATGCTGCCGTTATTGGCTACTTCGGCAGCTACCAAGTTCGATCTGTGCAGTTACGACGAAAACTACAGGACGACTCCAGAAGAGAGGAAATTCTACGCCTCCGTCGCTCGTAAAATAGTCACGAAGTGCGTAAAGGTCTTCCTGGAGCATATAAGAGAGGTCCGCGATACCGTACGGATCCTCAACTTAGCGATCCCGGGCGCCTGTTTCACGTACAAGGCCTGCACGATGCTCACCGTCAGCGAGTGAGTCGATTCCACCATGATGTCGTTCCGTATTGCGCTAAAACTTCAAGAGGTTGTTCCCGTAGGGATCGTTCGCTCCTTCAGAATAACTCCTTCATCGACAGACACACGACCGGACGCAGCCGTTATCAACTGAGCATGACGGAGACAGAGAAGCTAATGGACTGCTTTATAAGACTCGCGAGACTCGTTGATCCATCATATATTGCTGCAAGAATGAATGTCAGCGAGGTTGAAGTTTCGGAGTTCGATTTAATCAACTTCGTCGTGGACGTGTTCACGTGCAATCTACGTCATGTCGGGCCAGCTCCGCGGAGCTTCGATCCAGGTCTCAGAATTTTTTTCTCATGGTACAAGAAAATTATCAAATTCATTTAATGAATCAATGTCGCCTGCTTTCAATGATGTCGAGACATTAGCCTGTCAACAAGATCATGTCCACCATTCCAAGAGGATGCACCGAATTACGCGAAGTGCAAGAGATCTTATGATTCGAGTGAGAGGACCAAGTCTCCGGAGAAAGACTCTGTTCTAACTTTCTCCGTGCACTGAGTTATTAAACTCTAGCTATTGAGATGAGGACGACCTGCTTGGTCATGGCTCGACACCGAACTGGCGCCGATACGAAGCAGTCTGCTTCCCTTTGTCCATTTGTCATATTGGCGGGACGCTTAAATCGTAACAACTCTCCCCTTCTTCTGAGTATTCACATTCGGATAATTATTGTATCACAATGTCAGAATCTCTTAGGAGGTATCCCAGCGGTCTTACGAGTCGATCGACGCAGATCCAGTTGAGGCCTCCCAGGATTTTCGCATGAGGTCCCTTTCGATGAATCACTCGACGCGTTGACCGACGCCTGTGTCAGAGACTCCCCAGAATTCGAAACTAACTCTTCTCATTAATAAATAATCTCCCACTCTTCTGCTGGGGAATCTTTCTGATCGTTGACGGTGTCTCGCGACGGGGACTCCTCTCGGGTTTCGACTGTTTCCTCCGAATCTCCAACCGAGACGAAGTCATCTGTGTCCTCGCTCTCCGAGCTGGATGTGTTCATTGGCTGTTCTTCCGATGGATCCTCAGCGACCAACAACGCCGGGTGTAGTGCTTCATCGAAACTTTGAGCACGGGCTCTCTCTTCTGACGATCTGATCTGGTTCAAGTGGCGTTTCCAGGCTCCGTGAGAAGTCTTGACTAACGCGACTTTCCTTCCCAGAGGTCTCACGATTCCCCCAGGAATCCACTTGTCCTTCCCATTGTAAACCCGTGCCATCACTTGCATGCTTGGTTGAAGTTTTGCCTCCTCGTTGATTTCAGTGTGTTTCGCTGCTGGCCGCTCTTGAAGCAGGTCGAGTCGGGAGCGTATTTGTCGTCCTATCATGAGTTCGGCCGGAGTCTCGTTTGTCGATGAACTGTTGACCATTCGGTGGCGAAACAGAAATCGCTGGATCGCGGTGTGGAGGTCTTAATCCCCCTCAGCTCTGATTTCCTTCAGCGCCTGCTTCGTAGTTTGAGCGTGCCGTTCCACTTGGCCGTTCGAGGCGGGGTGGTACGGAGGACTAGCTTTATGAAGGATGCCATTCGCTTGACAAAATTTGTTGAATTCACTCGAGGCGGCTGTCGGATCATTGTCAGTGACGATTACTCTCGGCAATCCCAATCGGGCAATGATTTCCCTAAGATGATTAAGGCTTGTTAGTGACGTTTTCGATTTTGAAACCATCACTTCTAGCCACTTAGTTTGAGCATCGACGAAAGAGAAGAGGTATCTTCCTTCTATCGGACCGGCGTAGTCACAGTGGATGCGATCGAATGGTTGTTCCGTGTTCTCCCAAGGATGGTATGATTTCGATGGTTGCTTAGCGAACTGAGCACAAGTCGCACATTGCTTGGCTAGTTCTTCGATATCTTTGTTGATAGTATCCCACCAGATGTAGCGTAGAGCTAACTCTTTCATTTTGTCCGAACCAAAATGTCCTTCGCGGAGCTCCTCCAGCACTTGCGGACGGCATGTCAGAGGAACAAGAACCCGATGTCCGCCGAATATCGCACCATGTGCGATAGCGGACTCTGACGGATCCGTGCGCCAGAGCTGTTCCGGCATGGGACCTGAGCCCTGAAGCCATTTGAGCAAGGGTCGAAGATTTTCACAGTTGTCTTTTCGCGTACCCATGACCGGCCAAACAATGTTGGGAAATTCGGGCGGTCGATTACATAGGTATAGTTTCCGCCATAGGTCACCGGAACGATTACGTAGCCCTCGGGCTCGAAGACTTCTCGAGTGGCTGTTCGGAGGCGTACATCGTTTTCTTGCATAGGTTGATTTGGAAATCTCTTAAGGAATCTGGTGAATTCTATCGTGGATATGCCACTACCCTTGTCGAGTTCCATGGATTCGTCTTGATCATTGAGTCGAGCTTTAGCATTATAGGCTACTTGTGATTTCCTCCGACATAGTTGAACGGTACCTCCTCGAGAATCGAGAACAAGGGTCGGTTGACTTTTCCCACACACCGACGCCAAACGGCCTTTTTTCTCGCAGAGACGACATTCGGTGTTTATGTGATGGCCCTCAGGTGCGAAATGATTCGTTTTCCCACATCTGAAGCATCTCTTCGTTGAGGTTTGGGGGTGAGATTTCGAGGGGGAGCACCCCGTTATTTTCGGGAACCTTAATTTCTTGTTCGGGAACTTGCTGCGAGAACGTATTTAATTCACATTCTACGATTCGTCGGCGTTGACTTGGGTTGTTCGGAAAACCGAGGCTGAATTTTTTTGGTTGATCAGTTCCTCTGTCCTCGTGAACACCTCCGCCAGGTCCCTGGACGCAGCACATTTGACTAGAATTGCCTGCTGAGTGGATAACTCGCTCAATCCGCCTATGAACTGTTCTATGAGATTCATCTGCAGCTCCTCACCACTCCACCGACAATTTCGTGCGCCGTTCCGCAAGCGAGCTCCAAAGTCACCGAGAGATTCGCCGGCATGTTGTCGTATGCTGCGAAATGTTAATCGAACTGTTCACACGTTTTCGCCCGGTTCCTAAATTTTCTTTTAACAGTCCACAATCTGATTGTACGTTAGTTCCTCTGGCTTCTTATCTGATGGAACTTTGTCGAAGAATATTGTGAACGCTTCGGCTCCCTTAAAAGCCAGAATCGCACGTTGCTTATTCCCTGAGGTGGTCTTCTTTTCGCATTTCAAGTAATTTTCGAGTCGACAGAGCCACGCTGAGAAGCGTTCGGCGTTCGGTCGGGAAGCTTGAAATGTTGCTGATGTAGAACTCGCCATGATCACGAAATATCACCATCTCACGAAGCTGTCGGGTTCGGGTATGCCATCCTCGTCGACAGTTGTTAACTTACTCCGTGCAACGAGTTATCAGTTTCTAGCTATAGAAATGAGGACGACCTGCTTGGTCATGGCTCGACACCGAACTGGCGCCGATACGAAGCAGTCTGCTTCCCTTTGTTCATTTGTCATAAAGGCGGGACGCCTAAATCGAAACACTCTGGGAACTCGACACGTGAGCTGAGCAGGTAGGCATCTTCTGTCGACATTCAGGCCCTCGAGTATGAGTTCAGGGTGGATCCCTCGACGAATAGCTCCGAAGACACGCGTCGGCTGATATTACGTTTCGGCCAAGACCATCCTCTGGCGGATGAGTCACTCACGGATCCGCGCTTCGATATGCAGCCTGATTTGCTCATTGGAAGTGATCAAATAATGAACAAGATCGTGCACCTGAATAACGAGAAATCCATCGGTGGAGGGCTGGTTGCGAGGACGTCACGGTTCGGTTGGATCATATCCGGTTCGTTTGGGACTGGACCTACACGCGGCGACGTACCTTGCGTTCTCCCGTTTCGCTGTCCGGCTGCTCTGCCGCGCCCCGCAAGAGATGTCGAGCGTCTTTGGACATTGGAATCGATCGGCAATTCGAGCCCTCAGACAGAGACGTTCAGTGCGGCCGCGTCCTGTGCCGCCGCGAGGCTTGAGATGATTCCGGGAGCGGCTTGCTTTCGACGGTCGAGGTTACACCGTCGGAATGCCGCGTCGCGAGACGCTTCCCCCGCTGGCGAATAATCTGGAAGTCGCGAAGAATCGCCTTGCTGCAAAACGACGTGCCCTGATCCGTGATCCTGATGCCTACCGCCGATACGATCAGGAGATTATGGAGCTCCTGTGCGAGGGGCATGCGGAGAGGGTTCCCGTGGAGGACCTCTCGGCCTCGAGCTCTCGTGATGGCTGTTTTTACACGCCTCATCGGCAGGTCATACCCAGGCGAACGACAGGAGACGACAAGTGGCGAATCGTATTTGATTGTTCGGCGCCGGCGCCGGAAGAGTCCTCGCTCAATTCCCATTTGCTGGTCTGACCGAACCTCAACCCCGACATCATCCAACTGCTGTTCAATTTTCGCCTGAGGGAGTCGCCGAAGCATACATGACTATCGATCTCATCCCGGAGGATCGACCGTTCTTCCGATACCTCTGGCAAGGACCGGATGACGATCGAGTCGTGTGCTACCAGATGCGGAAGGTCGTTTGGGGAGCGACTCCCAGTGGTTTCCTGCTCGCGGCTGTTTTGCGTGAGCACTTCGATCGAGTCGATCCCGAAGCCGAGTTCCTGGGAACTGGGAACTTCGTTCTATTTCGACGACATGCTGCGGAGCTTCGGTTCGGAGGGCGAGGCGGTTCGTTTTATTGACAGGCTCATCCCGTGGATGAGTGCGTGGATGAGGGCAACTATGCGTCTCGGCAAGTGGAAGTCGAGCTCCTTAGCAGTGTTGGATCATCTGAAAAACGCACATTCGTCATCGGCATCTTCAGCCCTCGTCGAGACTGGGTTGCTCAAGGTGCTGGGTATCGCCCGGGATCCTGCCGAGGATTCCTTCCGATTTCGCATACCGGAGGCTATTGAGACCCTTATGAAATCGGAGCCAATCACTAAGCGTAAAGTCTTGCAGGCTGTAGCATGCATATTCGATCCGGTCGGATGGCTGATCCCATTCACCCTCCGCGGGAAATTCTTCATCCAACGATTGGGACGAGTGGATATCCGGCACTCTCCATTGCTCCCCCGCCTTCAAGAAACACTCGGTTTGAAGCGCGTCCGACCCCAAACACCGATTCGTAGGAATGGTCAGGGGGAGTGAACACACAGCTCGGCAAATTTGTGCAATCGGGTGTCCACTCTACCATATGCGGACCTCGATCATCCCTTCACAGATATCTCTCGGTGATATACTTGAATTCCTCTCGCGGTTGAATTTCCGAGAAACCCGAAGTCTCGAGTGCAGAGGTCTGAGTATGTATGGCTCTGTCGCCTTGGAGCTTACGCAGCTGAGCTCCTTCCAGAGGAAGGCGCTCATAAGGAGCGGTGGGTCCTCTGCTCACGAGGCTTCAGAACTTCAGAGGAATCGGAATACATTCCGACTGGTTCAAAAAACATAATTTTCAAAAATCCGATCCTTACTGTTCGTATCGGACAGCGGTGCTCACGGGGGCGTGTCCCGAATCGGGAGCAGCGAGATACTTGCCTGAATTATCTTTCCCAATACAGGAAAGAGCACAAGATGATGGATGAAAGCTTTCTAAGGAATCGTCCATGAGAAGGACGGAACAGTTCCGCTTTTTTCTGCTTACCTTGGATCGATGTCATGGAATGACTCCGGAAAATTTTTCAAGGTACTCGAGCCAACGCCTCGAGAAAATTGCTCTACACTGTAAGGTGAGACTCGATAAATTCAGGGCCAATCTCTTCGTTGTTCACGATCGAGCGATACGGATTACGGATGTGGGCTCTGTAAAGACGTAAAGAGCCCGAGAGTTGGAGCTAGAGAACTTCCGCGCGTCTCAAGCACATAAACCGAATAACATCCAGGAGAATCACGAAGTACGTAAGTTACAAAAACGAGCGAAAGCGGGAGGATATCGAGAACAAATAATATAACTGCTTCTAGATTTCGCCGGTAACGTGCAGCCTCGATTCGACTCACCGCCTCACCGCAAATCCTCAATACGGATCAGTCAGGATTCCAATATCGTTCATACGAATCGAGCCTTGTCCTTTACAAGAGAACGCGCGACCCGCGCCGAGTTCCAAGCGATGCACCCTATGACGCACAGTTATACCATCCAACCGCTGCTGGAAATGTCGGGCTCTCTTATTGGATGGTTGTTCGTGAACCTACAGGAGGTGCAGGGCAATTCGGACCTCTTGTCGCGCCTACCGTTTCGAAGTATCGGGACCTTTTCGTCACATGCTCAAAATCTGGGAAGTTAAGCAAAAACCTGGTTGGTCAATGGGTCCAAGAGGTTTTGAAGCGAGCACTCGATCAGATTCACGTCGATGAATGCGTCTTGGGTGCACTTTGACTCCCGGGGTAGAAGACTCTATTCAAAAACGTGCTATCCGTCTCATCGGTGATTCAGTCATATCCTCTTCTCTTGAATCTTTCTCCTCACGTCGTAACGTGACCGACCTCTGCCTATTTTATCGATACTTCCATGGAGAATGCTCAGATGAAATCTCTTCCCCCGTTCCCCCTATTTCGGTCCCCGCCCGTGTAACCAGAAAGAGTACCAAGCAGCATCCCTCCTCTGTCCAACTTTCCTCCAATCGTACTGCTCAATTCGCCTCCACCTTTTTCCCCCGTACATCCCGTTTATGGAATGCCCTTCCCCCTCATGTCCTCCCTCCAACGTACGATCCGAAACTCTTCAAATCCAACACTATCCGCTCTCTCCCTTCAGGTAAAGAGCCATAGGTTTTTTTAGTGGGTATTATGTACATGAGCCCCACACTCCGGTTGAATTTTCCACTCTTCTGGGTAGTGGGTCAATGCATTTTTTCCTATGGCTCTTTCACCTTTTCCTCCTAGCTTCCCCCCAGTCCCCCTCCCCCTTTTCGCACTCGCAGTTCCTTTTGAGAATTATAGGGTCATCCCTTTGCGAGCTGCTACACCAAAAAAAAGAAGGATCCAAACCTATACTTCATTGACGGCAAACATCATTGAGATGAATGTTCTTCCGGAATCCTCCACGAATATAGTCCAGCCATTGTACTTGCACCGCATCCGGCAAAGGAAGGATTTCGCGAAGCGGGTCACCGAGAGCTGCCAAGCAACGGGTGTGCGAACCGATTCGCGGGATGCTGTCTTGAAGCTTT